CGCTGCTCCGACTTCCTTTCCTCCACGCCGCCGGGATTGGGGCCAACCTGGCGGGGCCTGGCGGGGCTATTAGCCAGCCACTAACATTATAACCGATTTCCCCGACTTCCACTTCCTCTTCGCACTAACACCTGACTGTTATCTCCCTTTCTCTCGAAAGGTTGAAAACGTCATGGAGGGCCGCGATTTCAATCTCCGAGTGCAACGCAGCGAGCTAGAGGCCATGTGCGCCGACCTTGTTGAACGCATAAGGAAGCCCATCACCGCCGCCCTGGAAGTATCAGCTGTGCCCCTCGAGAGCATCCAGAGTGTCATTCTGTTTGGCGGCGGCACTCGTGTGCCTATGATCCAAGCGGCCTTGAAAGAGGTTACCGGAAAGTGAGTTTTTTGTTTGATTGCTATTTCCTCTGCCTCCCCCCGTCCCGGGGCTGATGGTGCTGTGCTGGGCAGTGCCGAGAATCTCAGAATGATACGCACTAGTAAACAGAGTCAACAAGTGGTTAACAGAAACAGCCAACCGCAAGACCGGAACCAACCCCTGAACTGACCTCAGACCACAGAATATGTGAGCGATTCCCGTCGTTGACTGTACTAGTAGTTCTATACTTAAAGGAAGGGTAGGTTTCGGTTTTAAAAAAAGTTGCTTAGTTGCCGAATAATTTTCTAAACTAGTGACTGCTACACTCGAATTCAAGGTTTAAAAACTGCGCACTGTGTACATCCTGTTTAAAGGAAAAGTACGTTTTCTTCTACAGTTTGAGGAAGAAGTCACATAGTAGTCATAAAACTATTAGCACTGTACCGAACTGCCTGCTTTAGTCGCCTAATTTCCATGTCACTGTAACGGCCTGAAGTGAATGACCGAAAACAGCTGTTTGCAACACGACTTTTCAAATATTGAAATATATTTGGAACATATTTTATACAGTATAGGCAGCATTAATAAATTGACGGATACGATGTATTATGAAGACGTCACAATCGTAAAAAAGCTCATAATTAGCAGTTTTAAAACCGAAAGCAACTTTTTCTTTGAGTACAGCATTTAAAGAAGGCGTAATTTGCTATCAAACAAGTACAAGAAATAATTTT